CAGCTGTCTTGCGTAAAAGGGGGCTCCTATCGAGTCCTGTACCGAAGCGATAGCCAAGGAAGGCCAAGGAAGAGAGGCCAAGGGAACCCGGCAACCTGCTGGCGGGAAGTTCCTGTCTGACGGCGACACCGTATCAAAAGTACTGTCGCATTCAGACGTAAACACGTTCGTGCCATGAATGGCTGCATGTGCACCTCGAAATCCTGCTGTGTCACTTTTTAGGTTTCTTGTTGCGCCTCTTACGTGCGTACTGTTATTCGTATTCTTCTCTTCTCTTCTGCCTATGATGCGGTTGTTGTAGGGCCCGGCAGTATTGTACCCTATAACAAGGAAATTGTTTGAGTACAGTCTAATTATCGATATTCCTTACAATTCACCTTCTCGACTTCACATCGTCGACCGCCGATCATTACCGCAATACCTCGTTTCTATCCTCGAAATTCGAACGTTACTACATAGTGTCGCCTGGTGATCGAAAACAGATTTCACACGCGATATAGCAGGTTCCTCGAACCTCGCAGGGACGCTCGATAGAGATGGTGTCAGAGTCCCCCAGGGTATCCAAGGACGGCGATGTTGAACGGATGACGACTATATCGACTGCCACCGAGCAGAACGAGACTCTTAGCCAACGGGCAGTGATTCCGCCAAACCAGCCGCAAGAAGGGGTGGGCGCTGCGCTGGCCTCGAACGCGGCAGCGCTGGACGTCCGACAGCACGAGTACGCGAACGGATACCACTTCCCACCCAAGTACCCGATAAAGGAGCAGATTCGGATGGGACTCGTCTCGTTCTGGGACTTCTACAACACCGGCTTCGGCTTCTTCCTCACCATATACTCTCTCAACGTCGTAGCATGGGGTGGCATGCTCTTCCTGCTGCTGTGTAATGCGGCGCCCGAGATGTGCTGGGTCAACGGCACGTACGACTGCAACCACATTGACTCGCCGCGCCGAATATGGATCGAGACGGATTCGCAGATATTGAACGCGCTATTCTGCGTGACCGGTTTCGGTCTTGCGCCGTGGCGCTTTCGCGACTGGTACTTCCTGCTGCGATACCGCCTGCGCAATGATCAGGATGCGCTGCGGAGGCTGGCCGGCGTCCACCGAGGATGGTTCCGTCTTGCGGGCTCTGATCAACTGTCCGTAAACCTAGGACCGAAGAACGTCGAGGAGGCAGTCGGAAGCTACAATAGCGAGAGTGTTCCCTTACCCCTCGAGACCATCTCAGATGCGCCGCCGACGGGCGTTCGAGCACCGCCGACCAAGCTGTGGAAAATGGACTTTATCATCTATTTCAACGTTGCCAATACGTTTCTTCAGTGCGTGCTGTCGGGATTCATGTGGGCTCTAAATCGATACGACCGACCTAGCTGGTCTACCGGTCTCTTCGTCTGCCTCGCATGCATAGCCTCCGCCATTGCGGGTATCATGATGGGAGTCGAAGGCAAACACGTCAAGGCCATCGAAGGCGTTCCCCTGAACAAGAGGGACATGGAGCGCCTGGCACGCGACAAGGAATTGGGCATCCCTCATTACAACAACATCAAAGACAAGGACCCCGAGGCGGAAAAGGAGAAGCAAAGGAGGAAGAAGGAGAAGAAGTGGTTCGGGAGATCCGAGAAGCCTAGCCTGGGAACAGAAAACGAAAGGCAGGCATTCTGCAGTTGACTTTGGCGTTATTCGTGTTTTTTCATAGACAGCAAGCACATCTAATGTTTATCAGCACCATGTAATTCTCTAAGTATACCAGTCTACCGCCGTTATAATCAAAGGCGAGGTAGAAGAATCAAACAAGTGGCTTATGAATACCGGCCACCACCTATTCAACAGCTTGTCTTCGCTATTCCGGTGCCCATCTTCAGTCTTTTGTCTTGTTGTCTCTAGGCGTACCTGAGCATTGAGAACGGATTATACACGCGTTGGGTATAAGTAACGAGCTGTCAACAGTATGTACTTAGTAAGGGGTGCATGTGGTCGTCAGGAGCTAATGCATATGCATCGATACGCTGGCGGAACACGCTGGCAGGTGATGGTATTCGAGGATGGCATTCGCTCACGAGATGTCATTTAAGTGGCACTTTGACACTTAGCATCTCCTTAGGCACATGCTAGCCCTAGGCTACAGGGCTGCCAGGTACTGATATCCCTTGGGCCTTAGGGGACCCCCGCCTGTCGGATCCGGGGTATGTCACCAATAAGACACTGCGAGGCTTATCGCCTGACCGAGGGTAAGGGACCGATTACATAAGACATGCGCAATCCAGCTGTTATCACGCTTATCTCAACCATCAAGTGTAACACGTCCAACGTCGGAGCTCCCGCCTTTCCTCTCTCTTCCTTTCTGACATCGGGGAGCTTCGCTTTGGCAGAAAGCTCATCAAGGCTTCGACTACTAACAGGATTCTCTTCTTTTCTTCTGTTCAAGTTTCTTTTTCTTTTTCCCTCTATAGAATCGTCGCGAAGATCCCGTGTGTCTCGATCGTGTCTCCTACCTATCACAACTACCTACAACCAGTCTGTCTGCCGGCTCCTAGGCAGTCATCAGCCACGATGACGTCCAAGGCCCTCATCCCCTTCCTGGTGGCCATGATGCTGCTCACTGGCGTGTGCAATACGCTCCTTACCAAGTATCAGGTACGTCCTTACCTATCCACGGCATCAATTATGACCATCGCGATTGCAACAGCACGCTAATTAGCTGTCATGTTTAGGACAACCAATGCGTCCGAAACTGCGACGACCCGGACCCTAAGAACCGGAAGACGTTCGAGCAGCCCGTTCTGCAGACCGCGCAGATGTTCGTCGGCGAGGTCGGGTGCTGGCTCGTCGTCGGCCTGATGAAGGCGTACCAGCACTTCGTCAACAGGAAGCATCCCAGTGCCGACGGGTACCAGGCCGTCAGCGACGGCGACGCCGAGGCGAACGAGGACGGCGCCAACTCCGAGCAGCCGCTGATCGCCGCTGCCCCGTCGAAGCGTACCGGCGGTCCCGACGGCCTCCTCCGGGGCTTCGGCATCCTGCTGCTCGCGCTACCCGCCATCTGCGACATCCTCGGCACCACGCTCGTCAACGCCGGCCTGTTCATGGTAGCGGCCTCCATCTACCAGATGACACGCGGCGCCCTTGTTCTCTTCGTCGGTATCTTCAGCGTCGTCTTCATCCGCCGCCACCTGTACCTCTTCCAGTGGATCTCCCTCGTCGGCGTCGTCCTGGGCGTCGCCCTCGTCGGTCTCGCTGGCGTCATCTGGCCTGACGCCAAGGCCGAGGTCACCGACGCCCTGAGCCGCGCCGCTGCCGAGGACGACGCGACCGCCGAGGCCCTCCGCGCCGCCCTGGGCGTCGTCCTGATCGCCGGTGCCCAGATCTTCACCGCCACCCAGTTCGTCCTCGAAGAGTTCCTCTTGGAGCGCTCGAGCATTGAGCCTATTGAGGTCGTCGGCTGGGAGGGGTTGTTCGGTCTTGCCGTCACCCTCATTGGCATGCTGGTGTTGCATTTCGTCATTGGGGAGACCGACGCCGGTCGCTATGGCATGTTCGACATGGTCGAGGGTTTCCGGGAGATGATGGAGTACAAGGCCATAGGGATCACGAGCATCTTCGTCATGCTCTCCATCGGGTAAGTTCAAAAACCTAGGCTATGTCATGCTCAAAATAAAATTTGCTAATTCGACTACCAGCGGTTTCAACTTTTTCGGCCTCTCAGTAACCCGCAGCGTCAGCTCCACGGCCCGGTCGACCATCGACAGCTGCCGTACGTTGTTTATCTGGATCGTCTCGCTCGGTCTCGGCTGGGAGCGTTTCAAGTGGCTGCAGGTTGTCGGGTTCGCGACCCTGGTCTACTTTACCTTCCTGTTCAACGGCATTGTGCAGCCTCCCTTCGCCTTTCTGCGACCGAGAGAGGAGGTCGAGGAACTTCTTCCCGAAGAGCCTATCGAGCACAGCTAGAGGTTTACCATGGACTCCTTTCTGGCAATGTCTAGGGATGCCTAATGATTAGCCGGCCTTGGTCATACTGAACTACTGAACTATCAAAGTAGAGGCTAAGGAAGAAGTCTATCTAGGGGTGTATTGCTACTATACGGGATGGCGTTCTTTGGTTCCGTGCCATCATCGGTCATCTTGATTATATGCATATTAGTCGGCTATTTTCTTTCTGTTTCTGCCTTGGTACGGCTCTGTTGACTGGGTGGTTCAAGGTGACTTACATCAAGGAGTTGGGTGTTGGGTAGATGCAGCATCTGGAATTATATAAACACTCTTTCTTGGTATCCCCGGCCATGTGTCTATTGCTATCGTTTGTCTTTTCCTTGGAAAGGCGTGTTGTCATCAACAATGCTACCTGGCTTGTGAGGAGATAACTTAAGACGAGCAAGCACAGGCTATATTGCATCTTTTATATACAAACATCTCTCTCATGTCCGGCGATCGAACATTTCATACGGGCCGGGACTGATATAGAGCAACGGCACAGCGAGGGATATTCCCTTCACCTCGTGAAGGGAAAGGGGGTTTAGTAGAAGGTTCGGTTGGGGGTTAGGTACCTCGGTAGGTTGGCACGAAATATATGTCTGTACTATCAGATAGTATTGTCCAAGTATACGAGATGGACCAAAACCCGCTATCTGGGCACGCTTGAGTAGTCACCAAATGGGGATAGGAGTTCTAGGTAAAAGTATGTTCTCATCGTAGCTCTGGATATAGCTAGGTAGGTACAGCCAAAAGCGTGCAATATATCCACGGCAGACATGTCGAACATATCCAGGCCACCGGCTCTTTGTTTGTCGTGACATGTCAACTCTGGGCGGGTAGTCACAGGTAAGGCGGTCTCAATACCCAACTGACACATCGCGCATGCCCGGCCACGGTGCGCACCTCGCTTCCCATGTTTCCCTCTGCCCGTGCCTGCCTGCCTCCTTTCCGAGTCTATAGGTCATAATATCTGATAACGGTTTGATCCTACCACTGAGTGTTTGGGAGGAAACACAGTACATATAGGCATCCATGGAGCAGTAGTTAGCTCATTCCTCTCCCACGTCTCCTACAAGAGATTGTAAGGTCGTTAAGGAAAGACCCGGGTGCAAATCCCGGTGGATGCAAAATTTTTTCTTCTTTTTTCTTTTTTCCACTCGCAAGAGGAAGTGTACCTACTGTTTCACACCGAGCTAAGTATATCTATTTCGTGGAGCTCTTATGGGTAGCCTTGTCGTCTACGTTGTGTAGTGACATGCGAACAGCTCCTCTTGATCTTCTAGATATGATAATCGTCATTTTATTGCCCATGACAAACGGAGCGTGCCCATGAACATATCAAACACCTATCACCTTATAGATCACCCTTCGAAAAAAAAAAAAATACGTTAAGTAGACGCACCCAGCAGGCACTTGATGAATCTTTCCACGGGGATTTTGTATGTGGTTAGCATGAGCCAGTGTAACTAGTCATCTCTGCCTGAGAATTGTGCCTAGCGAATGGGCGTCAGAGTAAACGTATACTTATAGTGTAGACAATTATCAACACATAGAAATACCACAATATATTCTACCCATGTAAGCATATCTCGGTCTGTGGGGATGAGGGGAGATATTCCTATGTCCATTGCGCTTCTTGGTATAAGAGATGCCCGTGTTTGGCCGTCTCAAGATTCACATCGCACCAACTATGTTCATGAAGAAATACGGCACGTAATTGTAAACAACAGCTTGGAATAATCGCTAGTCATTTATCTCTGCCAGGAAATCCCTGCCGCGAGAACGTCTTCCGAGGAATCCTACCCGACATAGGAGACAGTTTCTCTCAATCAGTCGCGGCCCCTGTCTCCCCAAACAGTTGTGAAGCATCCTTACAAACGAGCGAGACCCTACACCATCCCTTCCCGAAGTACATCGAGGAAACTGAACCCACTTGTAAACCCATGGAACGCCTAGCAGATGCACCATTTCGCTGAACAGAAAAAAAAAAAAAAAAAAAAAAAAAAAAGAGAAGAAGAAATGAAAGAAAGAAGACCGTGGGCTCGTAAATGGGGTCTGTCACGCAGTCTGAGACCATCGACACATATTTCTATCTCCCCATCCCGCCCAGTTTGCTCGGCGAGACGGAAGAAGGAAGCCCCTGCCAATTCCAGCACGAGGCCGAACCCTCGTGCCCCGTATGGGCAAATGGTTTTATTTATTCCTTCCAAGCCACGTCTCGCTAGACCGGAGGTTCGTTGGGAGAGGGATCATGGCGACGACGCCTGCGTGCCACGAATCAGGCGTCAGAATAGATGACACAGCCCTAGTTGACGTTACAGAGGAGCTCCGCTTCGAGGATGAACTTGCCCTCCTTGTACTTCTCGCTCTGCTCGTACGCCTTGTCGTACTTCCAGCCGACCGTCTCGTTGCACTGCTTGCACGTGATGTCGCGCACGACGTGGCGCCCCGTCGTCATGCTCCGCTCCGACGCCTCGCCCGCCTCGATGTTGACCACCGTGTTGAACAGGTACGCCTTGCCGTGCTGACCGCGGAAGTTCTGCTGTCGCGCCGCCGTCATCCGGCGTCTTGTTAGCCAAGGTTTGCCTTGTGGGGGGGAGAGAGAGTAAGGAATGAAAGAGGAAGTGGGAGAGACAGGGAGAACTCGGGATGAAAGAGAGAGAAGCCCTACTCTGCTTATTATCTCCTCGTGATTGGCAAGGTGGGTCTTGCAGTTCTTGCAGCCGTAGATCTTGTTGCTATTCAGGTACGTGTTGTATGCAAGCCCCATCGTGTCCGATATATCGTGTCCGCAGACCGGCGGATCCTCTCTGCTCGACTGGCTGGTTGGTTGGTTGGTCGTTTGTTTGCTCTCGGTACAGAGATTGCGGAGTTTCGGCGGGTGTCGCTAGAAGATTATCGACTACCGACGCGGGTATGGCATCCAGAAGGAATGTAGCAAGACGATACGAACGAGGTGGTAGAGAGAGAGAGTGTGTGTGCGTCTGAGAAGCTAGAGTTGTCAGGCCAGGCCCTTAAGAAGCTCCCAAGTGGCAATCGTACGGAGATCCGAATACTTGGTCCTGGGCTTGCCAGGTTGAATGAAAGCGAGTTGATAGAAATGCTCTATGATAGTATGGCACTCATGCGGTGTTCGGTGTTGTCGATGTATCAGTGTGTCAGTGCGCTATGTTTAGGTAGTCAGTAGTCAAGGTGGGATTTGGTTGAGGTCATCCGGGAGGCTGCAGTTCCCGTGCCTTGTTCCTTATCTCTCCGAGGGGTAGCACTGTCCATCTTATCGACACTGCGACCTTATGCCTTATAGTGCCTTACATATAGGGCCTCATAGGGCCTCACAGGGCCTCACAGGGCCTCATAGGGGGTCTGGTCTATGTAACCCCCCGCTAAAAGCTTGGCTGCAGCTGTTCCCGTGCGCTACCCACCTAGCTGACCTGGGCAATGTAACATTTAGACTACACGCGTAGAAAGATCTTGGAAAGATCCAAACAAGCCATCATGATCTAATTATCATGTCTTAGAATCTGCTTTATTTCTGGCTTTGTCGATGTTGAGTCACGATGAAACCGACAGGCTGCTTTCCGGCTGCCTTAGCCTTACCTCTTCACGACATCTTGACTTCTTCCTTCAAGCAGGTCTCATCGGATATCAATATGACGAGACATCTACATCTACATATGTATAGCACTAGGGCCCTTTATCATCTCACAAAGCCATCGTAGTACAAGTAAAGCGCCTTAAGGACGGACCATGTCGCAAGACAAACATCTCTTAATCGTTTTAGATCACATCATTTATTCTCGATCTATCCAGTCATGGCTGTCTAGGGGAGGCGTCATGCCTCTGTATCTGTTAGGCGGGGGGAACTATCTACAAGAAACGGCGAGCAGCGGTCGTAAGAAAAGGAGGAAAAAAGAAAAATGTACAGTCGAACAGAGCGGTCACAAAAATACAAGACGAACCCGCACCCTTTTTTTGGAGTGTCGAACCATCAGACCCCAAGCAAGCCTGGGTGCCGATAGGAGCGACGGAAGGTTTGGCATCTACCATGAGAATGCCTCCTCGATGAAGTCGATGCTGGTGCCGTATTGCTTACCACGAACCGCCTGCCGAACCTCGTCGCTGAGCGCGCCAGGTCCGCAGACCGTCACGCCCATGGTGCCGACTTGCGCCTCCGCCTCCATACCGATAAGGGTGTCGATGTTCGGTCGACCGGGGAACATCTGTACCGTCGACGACGGGCTGTGAATCTCCTTGGTAGAGCGTGGTCTGCTGACGAATAGCATGATGCGCAGCACGTCTCGTCGCTGGTCCATGGCGAGGATCTCCGTCATCCATGGTCGGATCCATTCGAGATGCTCGGGGCTCTGGATGATCCATACGAGAACGACCTTCCTCGTCGCTACCGTGTTGTTCGCGAAGCCCGTTACTAGATCCCGGACGTGAGGCACTGCGTGCGTCACACCCACACCTCCGGCGAAGAGCATCACGGTGCCATATGAGTGCATCTGGTGCTGTCCGCCGTACGGGCCCTCGACGAGGCACGTCGTCATGAGTCGGCCGTCAGGACGCGCCGCGGCTCTCTGGTACAGACTCTGGGTCATGCCGGTCCGTCCTCGAACGACGAACGACATGGTGGTCTTGCGCATAGCGAGAACGTCTTGTCGGTTCATAGCCAACTTATCCGACGTCAACTCCTCCGCTTCCTCGCTCCAAGCTACCGAGAACGGATGAGACTGCCAGAAGCTGATGGCCGGCAGGTACAGGTAGGCATGCTGGCCCGGACGGAAAGTCCAGGGTCGAGCCATCGTCACCGTGATCCTGACCGCGTTTCCGGGGAGCGCCTCGATGAGAGTCTTGGTACCTCCCTTACCCATGTTGTTGTAGGCAACGCGAGCGACCCGAATGAACCTGTCAATGGCCCAGATAGGAACGACTGCGAACAGCCACTTGATCTGCGGGAGATCTTTCAGCTTGAGGTGGTACCAAAGACCTGCAACCGCCAAGGCGGCGAGCACGATGTGCAGCAGCTTGAAAATCTCGTAGTAGGCGTGTCTGGCGATGCTCGCAGCTTGGAAGAAGATAGCGACGAAAGCGCACGTGGCCTAGATGGACGTTAGCAGGGAAACTTGCCATGGCACGTCGGATATAACTTACAACGAACCCGAATATCAGGAACGGTGCCGAGAAGCTCGAGTTTATTGCAGCAGCCCAGCCCGCCTTCGACGCAGTCGCAGCCCAGAAAGCCAAGGTGTGGCACACGGCCTCCAACACCACAATACGGCCGAACCACCGATGAAGCAGGTTGAAGGTGTCGAAGGACATGCCGAGGAGGTTGATCAAAGGGTTATTCCTGCCAGCCATCAGGAAGAGAGGAATCATGTTGACGGTGGCCAACACTCCACTTCGGTTTCTTAGCTGCTTGCAAGCGTCGGCATAGCTCTCAGCAAAGGGGATGTTGACGACACAGAAGGCGACGTTGGTAGCGAAGTAGGCAACCAGGAAAAGGAACTGGAACCGCGTGGGCAGAGTGCCGACGTTGATCGCGCTGCTCAGCTGAAATTCGCGGTTGTGTCGCTTGCTGAATAGCGGAGAGTAAAGCAGGTTCTTCTTGATCCAGGAAAACTTGGTCGACGCCTGGACGTAGTATCGTTGTGTATCGCTGTTCAGACTCGTCACGGTTCGGATGTACCTCGTCAACCCGGTCGAGACTCTCCAGACGATGAGAGCAATAGAGACGGCGCCGCAAATAATCAGTAGATAGTTAGAGAGGGACTCGTTTTCCATCTTGGGCGTCCATCCAGCCGCCTGTCCCTCACCAGAGGCCGCAGCTCCGTCTCCAGCCATGATGAGATTTCGTTATCGTAAATGAAAGTGACCAGCTAGATCGTGTGGATGATCCAGATCAAAGTGAAATCTGTTTGCGAGGTCTATGAACCGTCTAGGACATGTAGTCGTTATCTGAGGTAAGGAATGTTGGCTCGATGGCTGACCACGAGATACTGGTAAACAGGCTCAGGTATGTGAAAATACACCTTATGTGTTACTAAGGCAGCCGAGCAAGATCAACTCGATCAACCGCGAGAAAAAAGAAGGCGAACGAAATGGAGTAACAGCCAGCTGTATGAGT